TCTGTTCAGAGAGTTGTTGCTATTCTTCTCTTCGATCTCCTGTTGAGTTCGTAGGTGTTCAGAATGGTTTGATCCCTATCCAGCTGAATTCCTGAGACCAGACGAAATCCAGGTCTCCTACTCCTCCGCCATCTTGCTCTGCCCCCCCGCACAAAATGCCTTTTAATATATCATATATTTATTTTCAGTCCTCTTGGTTTTATGGTCTTGATCAGGTCATGAGTGGTGGGAAAAAGGAGGAGCTATGCTAACCTTCATGTAATTATTTCTTCCCAGCAATAAAGAATGACACTGAGAGAAAGTTTTGCTACCAACAGCTTCCAGTAACTTTGAGACTAATATACACCATTTTCCAGGTATATTTTTTGAGATATTTAAATGTTTGATGTGGTAGCATTGCTATATTAGATAACTCAGTAGTAACCATGTGGTTCTTTGTGTAGGAAATGGCGAAGTTTGAAGAGCCAGACATTCTTTTTAATATGCTCAATTGCCTGAAGATTCTCTGTCTACATGGAGAGTGTTTATACATTGCTAGAAAAGACCATCCTCAGTTTTTAGCCTACATTCAGGATCATATGTTGATTGCAAGGTATGTCTTCCTAGCAGCTTTTTGTTGCTGTTGTTGTTGTTGTTTATATTTTAGGCTTTAGCTGTGAAAATCAAAGTTAGGACAAGACTTACCAACTCATTTGGGCCATTTCTCTTAGCCAGGACAGCCTAATCGCCTATGGGAATAACTTTTATTTCTTTTACTGAGTCTAATGTTTAAGTATGTCAACATGAGGAATAGTAATTTTCTTTGCTAGACACTGTAGAAATCGAAAAAGCAAAAATAAGGATTATTTGGTCATCAGTTGTTGGGTGGCTTAAGAGTATAGTGTCCCCTAGGAAAATGTCAACAGGTACTAAGTCACTATTTATATAGTATCATCTAGTACAATATTAATATGAAAGATTTGCTCAATTTCTTACTTGAAATAAAACTGCTAATAGACATCAAAAAATCTCTCCACATTTTTGTCTGATAAAGTATTTTTAGATACTGCTGAAGTATTTTGAGAAAAATAGTAAAATATTGCCCTGGATATATGTAGAGTTTTTCTTCCTGAGAAGACAATGACTTAAAATAACTGTTAGAGTCTTCCTAGAAGTAAGTCAGAAAAATATTATCCTCGTTTAACTGTAAGAGAATGAGGTGATGAGAAGAAAGAAGAGGTTGGCTTAGGTTAAGTTGGTGACAAAACCAACTTGAGGCTCTTTCTGTCTTTGCACTCATTTTGTTCCTTTGTTCATTCATTCATTCAACAGATATTGGGGGTTTGCTATATATGTTATTATTCTAGGCACTTTGGGAATTTGCAATCTAGTTTGGAAGGGGGTGAATGCTATTTATACAGAAGGTGACCACATAATTTATTCTTCACATTGTTAACTTTTGAGAGTGAAGAAGGGGTGATCTTCATAATAACCTCAAACAATTAGTATAATGTAGACCAAGATCTTGGATAAACTAAGATACTTGGTCACCCTGTGTATATGTGAGTCACTGTCAATCCGAGGGATGTGTGATGGATGACTGTTTTGTATAGTTCGGAGGTGGGAGAGGTCATTTCTGGAGGACTAGAGAAGGTCTCAGGAGCGGATACCATTTGGACGGGCATTGACAGGATGATAAAATTTTAACAGGTGGACATTTGAGATGGGCAGGACATTTTGTTGAAAGTGAGAATGTCAAGAGTGAAGATGGCAGAGGTAGAGGGAGGGACAAGAAGTAAGTAGGGCATACTTAGGTGATACCAAGGTTTTATTTTTTGCCGCATGGGATGTTCTTAGGGGAGTAATGGAAAATGTAGCTGGAGAAGTAGGTTGGGGCCCAAGTGTAAAGGGCCTCAAAGATAGGGACTTCTCTTAATGATGTTTGGAGACCTATGGAAGATCTTGAAACAATAAACAGGGTCAGAGTTGTACTTTAATAGCATGAGTAAGAGAAAGAGAGACCCTTAGGGACCACCCACATTTAAGGGAGCGCAAAGAACATGTTGCAAGGGCTTTGGGAATGTCAAGGTGTAACACAGAAGTTTCTTCTGAAAAGTTTATTAGAAAAGTAAGGGAGAGATCAGATATTTAGAGGGGAAAAGGAGTGGATGTCAAGGATTTTTAGGATAAAGATCTGAAAATATTTATGGTCAGTGCAAGGGATCAGAGGAAGGGGAGTAGCTGGTAGAGCCAGGTCCTGGAAGGCAAGACTATGTGATCAAGAACAAAGGGTGGGTGGAAGAGAGGAAGGATGCTCTTTTCTTTGAAAGGAGATATATTTTGGGGAAAAGCGAAATTAAGTGTCAAGGGGAACTCATTACTTAACCTTAAGAGTAGTGTGTCCTGATGTCTTTTCCTGAGAGGTAGGAGGATAGAGATTAGGTTGGGAGCTCAAGGAACATGGAAAAAAGTATGGAATAAGCTCATGGAGGAAAGCAGTAGGGTGTTGACAAGAAGTAATTGAAGAATGGCCAGCTTCAGCATCAAGCTGAACTTAGCTAGTACCAGTTTGTGGTGGACCAAGTTATTAGGAATTAGTAGGACCAAGTTGGTTCCAGGGTCTGGGAGTGGAGGGGGAATGTGGGTTTATTCAGGAGTAGGGATTTGTGATTTGATTATGGTGGAAGTCAGGGGGATGAGAAATTTTGGAGTGAGGAAATGGTTGACTCTGAGATCCAGTCTAAGATGGGAGGCAAATGAAATCAGAAGAGGATTGATGTTTGGGAGAAGAGTATGGAAAGGAGGGAAAGAAGTCTTAATCATGATTGGAAATATTTTGGATGGGGACACTGTTCAACCCAGTACAGAAGCATAGAATGGGAAAAGTGGAGAGTCTCCAGAAGTTTCCTCATGATAAAATGGGAATTCTACAGGTGGAACGGGAGGAGCTGGTGAAAGGGTAGACCTGGCTGACCTGGATGTGGGGCAGAGTAGGACTGATCTGAACAGATGGATGACCAAGTCCAGGCAAAAACCATGAAGGAGTAGGGTTGGGAGTTAGACAGAAGCTCTGTTCATTTCGTGAGAGTGGGACTACTAAGTAGGCCAACTTTTGTTGTTAAAACAGCCTCTACAGGGGGCGCCAGGGTGGCTTTGTTGATTGAGTGTCCGACTCTTGATTTCAGCTCAGGTCATGATCTCAGGGTCTTGAGATCGAGCCCCGAGTCTGGCTCCTCACTGAGCATAGAGCCTGCTTGACATTCTCTCTCTCTGTTCCTCTGCCCTTCCCCCCACTCTCTAAACAAACAAACAAACAAACAAATAAAATAACAAACAAATGCAGTCTCTACAGGACATTTACCCAGGCCAACGGGATTACTGGTGCTGTGGGATCTCTGGGTCAGCCTTTGGGCTACATAGCCCAGGTTTTTCCTCAAAGTACCACTCTGACACAAAAGCCATGATGAACAATGTAGGGATCTGGGGAAAAGGACACTATCTTCCTGATTTCTTCCTGATTTCAAACAAGGCTGCTGTAGAGAAATGGGAAAGCCATAGGGGACTGGTGAGATCCAGGCTTTTTTGTCACCGGGGCGGTTTTCTAGCAGTGCTGCATATGGTTTGCTTCCTTCAACTACCTTGATCAGCCTGGGTTTTGTGTTCACTCTTATGATAAGGAAGGGGAGGACCTTGACTGACAGCCCTGCTAGTTGGTGGAGAGGCTGTTCTTAATAGAAATAGAGTTGTTCTTTGCTAGAATAAAGAGGAAAGGCTGCTGGGCAGGCAAAGCTCTCAGATATTCACTAAAAGAAAAATTAAAAAATCACTCTTCACCCCACCATCTTAACAGAACTAATATCAATTTTGTATATTTTTAAGTCATTGCTCATTTATATATGGGAATTTCTAATATATAATTTTTATTTTTATGTTAAAATGTAGTATTAAGTATTGTTTTTCTGTGCTGTTACATAAAAGTAATTTCTTTTAAAAAAATGAACAGAACAGATTTAGGAAAGGTTTATCAGAGGTTTATAGGCTTGTGGATGACTGTAATTTCACCAAAAGCATCCTTACCAGCTGCCTGTTAACTACATTTCCCATAAACTGAGGTAATTGTGTTTGTTTTCTAGAAAGGTTATCTTAACTGTAACCACTTTGCTTATTGCTCCCTCAGTCTGTGGAGAGTTGTCAAATCCGAGTTCTCCCAACTGTCTTCATTGGCGGTTCCTCTGCTTCTCCATGCTTTGTCACTTCCTCATGGTGCTGACATCTTCTGGACAATCATAAATGGCAATTTCAACAGCAAAGACTGGAAGATGAGGTTTGAAGCAGGTACCTCTGTATTAGCTTAAAAATTCTCTGGGGGGGGTGGGTCACAAGGTAAACCAGATGTCCAGCCATGATGTCTCTTGTTGACCTTCCTTTCTTTTTAAATTTTCTTTTAAAGATTTTATTTATGTATTTATTTATTCATTTAGAGGGAGAGAAGGAGGGCATGCATGCAAGTGGGGAGACACGGGGAGGAAGAGAGAGAATCTCAAGCAGACTCTTCCCTGAGCACAGAGCCTGATGCAGGGCTTGATCTCATGACCCTGAGATCATGACCTGAGCCAAAATCAAGAGTTGGACACTCAACCAACTGAGCCACCCAGGTGGCCCTCCTCCTTTCTTTTTAAAGAGTACTGCCTTCCTTGATGGTGTTCTTTAGTGGTTCTGCTTAACTGAGCTTCCTTTATAATAGTATTGTGCTGAGTGGTCCTCAGGTAGGATGACCCTGTTCAGGTTTGCCTAGGATAGTCCTGGTTTATGCCTGTTGTCCAGGTGTATTTATTAATTGTCTGCTTGTTTACTCTCAAATGCATCCTGGCTTGAATGATAAATTATACAGTCAACATGATACATGATATTATGTAGTCAATATAATATATAATACGACATGATACACTAGGTTACTTGTATCAAAGTAACTGGGAATGTTCCTTAAACACGCAGATGGTTGGGCCCCATTCCTAGACCTACTGAATTAGAATCTTAGGGGGTAGGGTCAGGAATGGACGTTTTTAACAAGGTCTCCAGGTAATTCAGTGAAGTTTGAGAATCTCTGCTGTTAGCCCCTTTCCACTGAAGTATCAGGGTTGAAGTCTGGCACAGTGATTGGTATGATTTCCTGGTGCTTAGAATGGCAAGTTCTCAGAGGAATATGGTAAGGAAGGAACTTGGACATGTTCTCTTAGCCTCACATTGGCTGCCTTCACTGTCACCCCAGTCTGCTAGGACTCCCATTCTTGGGAGCAGCAAGCAGGGCCCTCAATGCCATGGTGTGCCTTATCAGAATGGTTCTGTGTGTTTCAGTGTCTCCAAAATTTGGCAAAGAAATGGAAGTTCCATTAGGTCAGTTAACTACTACACATTCGCTAATATGTAGCCCCCTCAAAGAGTTCTTACTTTTTAATGCCCCGGGAACACCTGGGGCTGGTTTATAGGATAACAACTGACATTGTAGACAATTAGAGTAACATTTCCTGGCCCTGGGCCACCTGGTATTAGCAACATTTTACAACTATTTAAATACAAATAAAGCAGATAAATATTTGTGCTCTTTCATTCCAGTTTAAGGATTAGATTTTTGTGAATCCCAGCTCTGATGATGTCACTTTTCCATTCAAAAAGGCATGGAGAATAAAGTTCAAAGCCCTTACACAGACAGTCAAAGTCTCTCCCCGTCTGACTGCGAGTGTTTGCAGCCTCATTTCCCGCTCTTCTTTCTGACATTCCGTCGCAACTTCCCCATTGTTTCCTGCCTCCCTCAGCCTTGTCTTGGCCACTCTGCTCTCCATCTGAAATCCTCTTCTCTTCAAGGTCCATTCACAGACCCCCTCCATCCGATCTACCTTCCAATGCCACCAGTGAGTTCCACCTTTTTGGTTCCCTCAGTGGAAAATTATTTCTTTGTCCCTTGGTCTCCTTGGCATTTTATTTGCACCTCATTAGTGGTATCTATAGCTCTTTAGATTGTTTCAGTTATAGTCGTATCTGTCTTATTTCTTTAGTCGACTTGACTTTTAAGCCAAGACTTGGGGATGATTCATATATTCGTGTGTGTAGGTTCCTCAGGTTGTAACAGAATACTACAGGCTGGGGGGCTTAAACAACAGACATTTATTTTTTTCACAGTTCTGGATTCTGGGAAGTCTAAGATCAAGGTGCCAGGAACATATGATTCCTCAGTGAGGGTGTTCCTGTCTTGTACATGACTGCCTCCTCTCTGTGTCCCTGCATGGCAGAGAGAAAGTTAGAGAGCTCTGGTTCCCTTCCTCTTCTTATAAGGATACAAATCCCATCATGGGGGGTCCTACCTCATGACTTCATTTAAACCTGATTATCTCCCAAAGTCCCCACCTCTGAATGCCATCACATTGGGTGTTAGGACTTCAACATACGGATTTTGGCGAGGGGGAGAGGAACACAAACACAGAGTCCTTAACAATTCATTTTTCCACTTACTTCCATCCTCCTTCAAGTATCTAGGATAGTTTCTTAGTTTTATTTATACACACACACACACACACACACACATATATATGTGCATTATATACATATATATCTTAAGTATGTATTTTCAATATCTATAAATATATTTTTAAGTATGTATTTTTAAAATAAATGAATTGGTGAATAAGTGAAAATAAGTGAAATATTATATGTACTAGGCACCATGGGACCAATAAAAGGAAGTATAAGAGCAGGGGCCTGCTCTCAAGAAGATACTCATTTAATTGATGAAACCAAATATAAACATGTAAGAGGTTAAGAAATTAAAACTATAAATATAATTCAAGACCACAAAAGAAGATATGTCATATAGCTATATATGAGCATACAGATGTCTTACGTAAATGAACAGGATGTAAATGAGAATATTTTTGCAGGAGCGCATGGGACCGAAAGGCCACTCTAGGTCAGAGTAGACTTTTACAGAACAGGTAGAATTTCAGCAGCAGATTCTTTAAGGATGATAGAAAATCAATAAGCAGAGAGGAATGGAAAGAATATTCTAGGCTGCTGGAATAGCTTAAGCGAAGTACTGAAATGTTTTATTTTCATGGCACTGTATTTCTTCACTAGCTACTTTAACTTTTTATAAGCCATGTTTTAAGAGTACCTGGAATCATTTAACAGAGATTTGCAGAGTAATTACAAATCCCTCTCTGACTGACTTACAGAGTTGGGTGGGGGATGGGTGAAATAGGTGATGGGGATTAATGCACACACCTGCATGATGAGCACTGAGTAATGTATGGAATTGTTGAATCACTGTATTATACACATCTATCTAATATAACACTGCATGTTAACTATACTGGAATTAAAATAAATAACTTAATTAGGGACACCTAGGTGGTTCAGTCAGTTAAGCATCTGCTTTCAGCTCAGGTCATAATCCCAGAGTCCTGGGATCCAGCCCTGAGTTGGGCTCCCTGCTCAGCAGGGAGTCTGCTCTTCCCTCTGCTCCTCTCTCTGCTCTCGTGCTTTTTCTCTCTCTTGCTCACTCTCTGTCAAATAAATAAGTAAAATCTTTTTTAAAAATTTAACTATGGGGCACCTGGGTGGCTCAGTCGGTTAAGAATCTGCTTTTGGCTCAGGTCATGATCTCAAGGTCCTGGGATCGAGCCCCACATTGAGCTCCCTGCTTGGTGGGAAGTCTGCTTCTCTCTCTCCCTCCACCCGTTCCCACGCTTGTGCTCTTTCTCTCGCTTGCTCTCTCTCTCAAATAAATAAAATCTTTAAAAAAATTAATAAAAAAGAAATCCTATCAAGTAAGCATGCATCTATTGCATATAAAAAATATGTGGCTGCCCTAGCCCTAGGAAGTCTGTTTGTTCTCACTTCACATCATGACATACTAAGAGTGCAGTAGGGGGTCCAGAATCTAAAGCCAGGTCTGGTGGGCACCTTCTGTCTCCCTGTGTGGTCCACAGAAGGGCCTATGGAATGGACAAAGAAATGAGCATGGAGGCATTTTGAATAGTTTGAAGTGTGGTTTGAATTAAACAATGAGGAAGAACATAAAAAAAAAAGACAACCCACTGTTAAATCAAGGCTGCCCAGCAGAAAAGTACTGCCCTAGGTAGAAACAGTCTCTGTCACACAGATGAAATGGAACATTCAAGAAGGTGGCATTAGAATTTCCTTTTGGTTTCTCAAAACAGGGTGTGGGAGCCCCAGAGTTGACTTTCTTTGTGGGTTCAGTTCTTGCCTAAATAAGTGTCCGTTTTTTTGTTCTCTGCCTTTTACACTGCAGTGGAAAAAGTGGCTGTAATTTGTAGATTTTTGGATATTCACTCAGTGACCAAAAACCACCTGCTGAAGTACTCCCTGGCACATGCCTTTTGCTGCTTTCTGACAGCTGTGGAGGATGTCAACCCAGCAGTGGCTACCAGGGCCGGTCTCCTGCTTGACACCATAAAGAGGCCAGCATTGCAGGTGACGTCTCTCAGATGTGTGCTGTCTGTTCCACAGATGGTGTTCTGCTCTACTAAACACATATAGTACTGATGATGAGGACAGCAAGAACAGTGGGAACTTTTAAATGGGGGAAAACATCCCAGAAGCACACCTTATTAAAGACCTGTTTTTATTTCTTAGTACTTTCTTTTCAGTCTTTGTCCATATGGTGATACCGCTTATGACAGAGACAGTAATTGTATACCTCTTTTTGTGTGGCAGATTTTTGAGCTAGGCTGGTTTAATTTATAATATTTAGTTGGCTCCTAGGCTGGGAGCTTTTGTCATTAGAGGCTAGATACTAAGAGAAATCATCTCTGTGATGAATTATAGTATAAATCAAAGCAAGACCTGAGAAGGCAAATATGCCTACCAAAATGGAAGTCAAAGGAACATGAAATACGAGACCTAGAGAGAGTTGCTTATTTTTTTTATTTGGCACCTTTATTTTATAATTGAAGAAACCAAGTCTCGGAGAGGTATTGTGACTCTTCAAAGGACACAGAGTGAGTTAGTGGAAGAACTGAGAGGCTAGAACCTCCAAAGTACCGATCTCTTGATTTCCCACATTGGCACCCTGTTTATTACTATATCATTATAATTAAAACTAATAATCATGGCAAGAGCTAAAATTTGTCAAACAGATACTGCCTGTCCAGGACAGTGTATTAAATGTCTCATCATCCACTGTCTCATTTAATCCCCCATGATAACCTTGTGGGTTCCCATTTTACAGATAGAGAAGCCGAGGGTTGGAAAGGGTAGGTGACTTTTCCAGGGTCACGTGGCTAGTACATGGCAGAGCAGACTCAAGTTCTGAGTCATAATGAAGTCCACGTTCTTAATTGTATCTGTGTCTATTCACTGCTTCCTGTAAAAGAGACCAAGAAGAAAGTGCAGGATCTGAGAAATTCAGAGGTTATCCTGACTGTGGACCCACACCCTCCCTTATAAAAATTCCCAGTTGTCTTCTGGATGCTCCTTCTCTGTTGGTCTTAAGAAGACTAGGTAGTCTTCCAGGCCAGGGCCTGGGATGTCGGAGGACCTCAGTAGAGGAGAATTGAATGAGTTGATAGAATGCTTGGAGGAATTACGGTTTTTAAGTTTTATTCAGTTTAGGAAAGGGGGAATGGTAAGCAGAGTCATATACTGGAGAAATGGATGCTCAATCTAGTCCAACTTGATTTTTTAAGATTCTGTGTGCCACTCACATTCCAAGAAGACAAAATGAGTTTACTTTCTTTTAGAACCATGGCATTTAGCATTGAAAGGAAATTAGAAAACCATATTGTATATTCTAAAATGTAGCTTTGGAAGTATGCTTCTTTTAATAGAAACTACAGATGGTGAAAAAAGAAACATTGGTTTGAGAGCATTTGGATTAAGTGGTTATTAATGAATGCATCTGAAAACCAATAACATACATTTAGTGTAGATTTCCGAACTAAAATTCAAGGTATATTGTACAATTGGGAGAAGCTCCTCTCCTGCATTTTATTTCTCCCAAACTTGCAATCAAAGATTTCAGTTGGATTCTTCTACATTATATGTATGGATTGAGGAAGTTTTGTCTTGTTTCACTGACTTTGCTTAGTGTATTTGCTTTGAGGTAACTTAGATGTTTACTTCTGACTTAAACTTTCTTCCCCCCTTTGCCCCAGGGTCTGTGTCTCTGTCTCGATTTCCAGTTCGATACTGTGGTTAAAGACAGACCCACAATACTGAGCAAACTTTTACTCCTGCATTTTCTTAAGCAAGATATTCCTGCCTTGAGCTGGGAGTTCTTTGTCAACAGATTTGAGACACTTTCTTTGGAAGCTCAGCTACATTTGGATTGTAACAAAGAATTTCCTTTTCCTACAAGTAAGCAAAACAAAGAACTTGCTTTAAACAGTCATAGTTCCTATTCTTATATCTGCTATAAGCAGACCATACTCTACATGTAGCTTAATTTCCCTTTATGGAGGATGCTCTGACTTCATGAACTCAGTTTATTAAATATTTATTGAGTAACTCTGTAGTAATCCATAGATCAACTAGTTTCTGGCATTCCAAAAGCAAAACTCTTCGCATTTCCTTGAGGACCTATGATAACCATTTGTACTGTGTGTTCCTTAAATATGATTCAGTTCTCATGTTTACAGTGTTTGTGAGCAATTTTGTGAGATATATCTGCACCTTGCAAATTCATTCTTGCATGCTTATTAGTTACCTACAACTCTAAATAGATGGGAAAAGTGGGTCACTCAACTATGTATTCAGTGATAATAAAAAAAATTAGACATGTAATCTTATGGTCTAAGCAGAAAATCAGAGGCAATAGTCATGATAGGCGGTAGTTACAACTTTTTATATAAGACTCACCATGAATGAGAGGTGAATGATTCCTGTGTCCATGAAAGATGTGTTTTAATCCTGAAAATATACACAGATGGATTATTTCAAACTCGCTGTGCTACACAGCCCCTTAAAGAAAATAATGTCTGATTCCTTTTGCAAAGCTATCACTGCCGTAAGGACCAACGTCGCCAACCTCAGTGACGCAGCACTGTGGAAGATCAAGAGGGCTCGTTTTGCAAGGAACCGCCAGAAGAGTGTGCGTTCTCTGAGAGACAGCGTGAAGGGGCCCGTGGAATCCAAGAGGGCGCTCTCCCTCCCCGAGACCTTGACCTCCAAAATTCGTTGAGTATCTTCTTCCCTCCTTCCTTTAAATCTGTTTAATGTCTTTCTGAGGCTGCCTTGTCTTGTTGAATGTTCATAGAGAGTAGCATATTTAGCCAACTGAGCTCCTTCAATAGGTTTGGGCTTCAGATCCCTAGAGGGTCACCCCAAGAATGTCAGTGCTCTGTGGGGGCTTCTTCCAGTTTGTGGGTGAAGCAAAGCCCTGGTCCAGCAGTAGATTGTTTTGCAATGCAGAAGGCAGCAAATCCACTGATGCTTGGTCAGAAACATAGAAGCAGCATCTGCTCCCGGGTCCTAGGAGAGGAAGGTGTGCACCACCAGCCTTGTAACCTAAGAGCTTCCTGAAAAAGACTGGGACAGGTCAGACCCATGGCAGCTGAGGTGGTAGAGTGGAAGTTTGGAGTGCATTTGCTTTTCATGTACAATGGAGACAGCCAAACAAGCTTCCAGACAAACCAAAAATAATGGTTGCTTTTGAAAAGGAAAAACCAGGCTGAGGAGAAGTTGAATTTCTGTGCAGCTTCACTGGATAATTTATAAATAAAAATAAACTTCATCACCAATTTAAAAAAAAGACCATATATACTTGTTTTGTAAAGGTCTTTCTTTATATTGCACTTTGAAAGAGAACACAGTTTTCCCTAAATTACCAGATGACTAAATGAACTCTAATGATTAGCAATGGCTCATGAATGACAAATAATTAAAAATTCATAACTAAATCACCATACTAGTGAATGAGTATATTTAAATATGGTACTAACGTTTGTAAAATTTATCTAGTGATTTAATTTTTAAATAACTGCTGTGAAATTCATAACATAACACCCTAAAACATACTTCTTACCCTGTTGGAAGTGGAAAGTTTTCCTTTTTTCATTGACATTTATTAAAAGACAGCCTTATATAACATAATCATTTTTAATCACAAATATGATTTGATTTTTTTTAATCGCATTTTTCTCTATTTTATGATAAGCAATGAAAATGTGGTATTGTGAACTTTGGAAGAAGTCAATGAAAGCCCTTCAAGGAATCAATAGCTCAGTTTTTCAGGGAGCAAAGATTATAGCAGGTGGCCATTTAAGAATAACCTGTAGGAGCCTAGGCCCCAGGGAAGCCTGAACCAGATCCTAGAAACCAATATCTAGATTAAATAAATTACAATTTCTATGAATTTCCCAGCTCTTTTGTAACTTAACCAGCCACTTTGGGATATCAAGTTTCCTTATTGTTCCTTCTTGTTAATTGATTCACGTGACAATTTTGAAGATTAAGAATTGAAGTAACACTGAAGGATGTTCTTGAGATTCGCATAAAAACCACAAAGCTTTTGTGATGCAAACACCTTCTGTGCCATGTTAATCACAGGGAGGAAAACTAACCTTCAACCCGCCCCTCCTGTCCGGTGACTTAGCACTGAGTGTATTTTCTAGGCTCAAGTTGTTTTTAATGCTTATTTAAATAGAGTTGTTGTTGATTTTTAAGCTATGAGGTTGACCAGGCATGAGCAGTCTGCTCCAGCTCTCGGTGGGACACCCGAACAGACACCAGGTGGGTACTTCTGACGTGGAAGGGCTGTGTGCAAGTGTCTATCCCAGGTGGACAAGGTAAAGAATGCAGTGTCTCTCACTGGACCAGAGTGCTATATTTAGGATTTGCAAACTTGAAGGGTCTTACCCCAGATGCTCAAGCGTTTGAGCCCCTGACCTAGCAATTCTTGCGATCTTAATATGGGCAGATGACTTTTGATCCCATTAACTTTTGGTCCAGTAAGAGGTATCATGTTCCCTGAATATGCACTTTTCCCCAGAGAGCCAATGTGACTAGAACTATACATAGTACTTATATTTGTATGTGTATTTACACATAGAAATATTATGTTCATATATATCTGCTATAGGAAAAACATACATTTCATTGACATTTTCAAAGGTTATACATTTGAGCCACCATCATTCACTCATCCCCGTAGCCATTCTTGATTCTTTGCAACTCTATATGCATTTCTGTCTCTGAGAGAAAGGAGGATTTCGATTGCTTGGAGGACCGTAGGATCATATTTGGCTCGGTACAGTGTAACTACCGTTCGATGTCCCATGAGAGAATGTAGTTTATCAGGAAGGATCCTAAGGGTTGAAGGGACACTGGCAAGGTTATTACAGCCTGAATGTTATCTGCACAAATGGTGCTGTGTGAAGGGTCTGAATAGCTGTTCATTTGTCAAAAACAAACTTGGTAACTGCCACCTGTGTATCATGATATAGAACATTTGGTTTTTCATCTAAGAAGAGTTTTAAGAATGGCCTCAGAAGGAGAATTTCAAATAAGGAGGCTTTCAAGGCCATGTATGCTAAGTGTTACAAACATGACACCAGAAAGACAGGCAGTTTGGGGTGGGAGTGGGGGAAGAGAGAGCCCCAAAGATTATGAATGCCAATGGCGGGTGTTGGTCAAAATGTATTTTCTCTTTTAAAATTGTCAAGAAAGAAGGAATAGCAAACCCTCGGCCAAGGCCCCCTGCCTTGTTTTCTGCATCACTCGGGGCCTCAACTGTACTGGGATTAAAAAAAGAGTAAAAGTAAGAACTTCTGATCCTGAGCTCCATTACAGTGTGAAATCCATCCAGGTCCCCTTCAGTGAAGTCTTTTTGAGATGAATCCTAAGCAATTTCATAAATTATTTTTATTTTACCCCATCTTTTCTTTTTGTCTTAAGGCTTAGTTGAATTAATTATTCAATTAAAGTCTTTAATTATTCTTATTACCCATTTTCACAATCCAAAAGAGTCCTCTCACATCTCTTTGGGAAAACGGATACATATGTTTCCTGATGTTAAAAAAAAAAAAAAAAGCTTTTAGGCTCTACTTGTCCCACCAAAAGTGACCAGATAGAAACGGGGCAGATAATAGCATTGTTTATATTAAATATAATGCTAAAGCTTCTGGAAAGATAATTTACACAACACCACTATAATAAAAACTTGCTTAGATTTGGAAACAGCTGGCTAAGATTATAAGGCCCTTTTGAACTAGTTTCTCATTTTTGCATTATTATTTACTAGACAGTATATTTTTAAACTTGTGAACGAAGACATACCAGGATAATCCTAAGATTGTACAGGATGGCATGGAAGCTGAAGGACTTGCTATTTACCAAACATACTTTTTTTTGGTGCAAGTCTTGAGCTTCTCTGTGCAAGACCTCTTATTGATTGGGCCCAAAATAAAGCCTATGCCCTGTAATTATGCCACAAGAGTTCATTTTAATTGCTGTTTAGGCTGAGCTTTTTTTGGCATTGGATTTACAACGGCTGGCTTTCTGGTCTTAGCTTTTGCCTATTACCTACAGCAAATTTTGTATCAGAAATACACTTGGAGAGAAGGTATATTCCACAAGGCTAGGGAAGAGCTGCATTCCTTTATGACTTTCATGAGTCAGATCAAAGACCTTTGCTCATGTGAATGAAATTCATAGGAAATTACAGCTGGAATATTAGAGATATGTTAACATTCTCATTTTACAGAAGAGGAACCTGAAGTTCCCAGAAAGGAACATGTTTCACAAGCTTGTTGGTGACAGATCTGGGTCTCAAGCCCAGGCATCTTGATCTCTTGTGCAAAACATGCGTGGTGAATGCCAATAAGAGCTCAGCATCTTTATTTAATCCTAACTGATGAAATAGACGGTTTCACCTGCTAATTTGAAATTGGTATAATTATAATTATTTATAAGGTATCTTTTCACCAATTTTCTGAAAACTAGGAATTATGTTTGGTGATTCAGAATACCTGTTGAATATTAATTGAGTATAAAATAGCAGTTTTGATAGGTTTTCATAGCACAACACTGAAAAACTGGTATCCATCGCACGTGGTCACAGGGAACTTAATTGTATCTTGTTCCTCATCCCCTGGAATGAATAATTAAACAATGGTAGGTATATGATAATAAGAATAACAACACTTCATGTATGTAGAGTACCTCTCTATTAAGAATATTTTTAATACAAATAATCTAATTTTGATTTCACAATGACTCTGGATATATGTAAAGTATTATGATTTTTTTTTGCTTTACATATGGACAGGAAAACTGAGGTCCTGAGGGATTAATTAATTCTGCTTAGATAATTTGCTCAAGATCACTTAAAACTAACTAGTTGGGGACTAATGCTTGAGTCCAGCAGACTTGATTTCCACTGTAACTACCTCCTGATGCATTGGTATTAGGGGATTCCTGCTCTGTGGCACATGAAGACACCAGTCTGGTTATAGAGGTAACCTGGGCATTCATGTCTGCTATAGTGTGCCTTAAGGTCATGAGCATCCACGCCAAGAGACTTCCCATTTAAGACCCACAGATTGATCTAGAAGTGTCCTAATCCCTAAAGCAACATGGATACCCTCAATTCTACTCCAGCCTGCAGAGAAATCTTGAGATCTCTTGGTCTGAATTTGTATCAAGAGAAGGTGTCCAGTGCTAGGGACCACTGGTAAAACTTTCTTGTATGGCCCTCTCCCATCACCCCCGCACCCCCTGTTAGTGTCCCAGCATAAAACCCCAAATTACTTCTCTTTGGGCTCCCTCTTTCTTTCTAGAGGTGGTTAACAACTCACATCCTTCACTGACTTGCAAAATGCCCGTTGATCATTAAGACCCTGTAACTCAAAGAGAACAGTTATTTTAATAGGAGTGCCCTTGTTGGAAAGAATAGTTTCGGGAAATGGCAGTTTCTATTGAACTAACATTTACTGGGCACCTTCAATACTAGGAAATACGAAGAATGCAAAGATACATCGGAAATTTGTATATTCTCCACTTGCTTATATATAGTCAAGGAAGGAAAATAAAGCGTGAACTCTCATCTCGAGTGATTGCGCCAGTGCCATGGGATGGTTCCCATCGGGTGCAGGGGGAGGAGAGTTGGGGGCAAGAGACAGTCTGGTGGAGAGGCGGCTTTCCAGCCAGGCCTTGACTGGTGGGTAGGATGGAAAGGCCTGGATGTGGGATAGGAAGAGGCAAAGGCAGGGCTGCGGAGCATAGGACAGTATGGAGTTAGTCACCGGCCCCAACTTTGCAGCCCTTCTGCTGTGTGCACACACAACACACCTGCTGTGAAGTTGGGTTAATGGGCTAGGGAGATCAGTGAGGTGGTGTAATTAGAACTAGCAACGTAAGGCGAACTCATTTATAGTGCTTGATCATTGGCTTCTCTGGAACAAATGCAGAGGAAGCTCATGGAAGGGGTGCTTCCTCCCTCTACCTGATTGTCACTTGTTGGTTTGACAGAGGGCTCAGGGAGTCAGCTTACACAGAGGAATATTCCCTATTTCCTTGCTGTTTGGGGACCTCATCACTTTTTCCTCATGTATAGAAGAAATATTTACCTGAGATATTTATTTGAATTCAGTGTACTTAGACACTTATGAATAATAAGCATCAAGTATATGTCAGACACTGCCCCATATTCGTGAGGGATGTAAAAATGGGTAAAACATAGCACTCACCTTCAAGCAGCCTTTGTTCTCCTAGGGGAAATCGGCAAGTGAGTAAATAAATTCTGCCTTGCAATTTGCTCCATTTTAGGAAACGGTAAAGGAAATTTCCCTCCATTCTTCCCTCCCATCCTTCCTCTCTTCATGTCTTTGGGGATTTGCAGTAGTTAGAGATCACACCCAGTCGCTGAGAGGAGAGTGGGCATAGGTAGGAAGAATGGCTTCTGAGAACCAGATTCACAGGATGAGATTGGCCGGGGGTGGGGGTGCTGGGAAGATGTATCACCCTGAGCAAGACACAAAGGTGGGAAAGTGTTAGCTATGTTCTGAGAGTTAAGAGTAGCCCAGCTTGTAAGAATGTTGAGCATCTGGGGTAGAATAATAAGAGAAAAGTCTGGAAAAGCAGATCCTGATCCTGCCTGGTTTCCAATCATCAAATAAATAAAATCGTATGACACTTTGGAGTTTCAATCAGTTACCCCTGTGGGTACTGATTGTGGTGTACAATCACAGTGTGATGTACACTGTACCTCCCTGTGGACAGATGGTGATGGACCCATTCCATGATTACGTTAGGGTAGGAATCACTCTGCCTCATGATTCTAAAGATGCTTACAGTTTTCTTTAGAGAAATGATAAAATCAAAAATTTTAACAAGTTAAATATCTGTGGTTAAAACATAGAGGAATTTCATAGGCTAGAATTCAAAACTAGAATTCAAAAGTGTTTTAATTGGCACATCTTAGAGAAAATATCATAGGCATTCAGTTTTAAAATGGAAATTTCATACCCTTTGTAGATAACTAAAACAGTGATATTGTCTTTATTAATAAAGAAAATTCTCATTTTTCTAAGCTAATTTTTCTTAGGGATTTGAAAGAAAGAAAATAGACAAGGCATAGACTTGCAAAGCCCACAACTGGAGGAGTAAATTTTTGGAATGAAGTTGTTTTTCACTTTATGCAAAAGGTCTCATCAGCTAGTTCTTTTTTTTCCAGTACATTTAATGTTTTGTTAAAGATCACTCATTATTGCCCATTCAGGGAAAACAAAGAAAGGAACAGCAAACTTAAAGCTATGTTAACAGTGAAGATCAGCGAAGATGTATTTCAAATGAAAATAGGGCATTCGCGAAATGGTACTTAATCATTAGGAAACTATGATTTGTTGGGAAAAGTTAGGTTACACACTTTATCTTATTTTATTATTATTTTTTTTGAGAGTGGGGGGCAAACAGAGGGAGAGAGAGAGAGAATCTCAAGTAGGCTCCACACTCAGTGCAGAGCTTGATGCAGGACTCAATCTCTGGACGCTGAGGTTATGACCTGAGCCGAAATCAAGAGTCGGATGCTTAGCTGACTGAGCCACGTAGATGCCCCAGATTATACACTTTTTAAATGAACATCTACTTGCATTGGGAAGAGGAATTTTGAAATATTTAAAGATGAAGTCTGATGATTTATTTTCTAGACCTGAACTAGGATAGAATGAAATGGGGAGCCAGTGTCTTAGTTGGGCCTTGTTTGGAGCTCCCTTTGTTCTGTATTGAGGCCCCTGGATTCTCTGGGCTATAAAATAAAGGTGCAGCTCCTTCCCAAATGCTCCCCATTTTTAACATGGGGACTTTGGAGTTGAGCCTGTCTGAACTTGGAGGTGGTTGAGCAGGACGGTGCTGCAAGGTGTGTTAAACCTTGCCCCCCAGAGTGGAAACAAATTGAGGAATGAAGCTATATTTTAACAGCCATCCCTTGCTGCTGCAGTAACTTTGAATCCTGCAAGGAGCCTGCATTCTCACACGTGACACATTCTCGGCCCAGGCTTGCGCAAAGCAATAACTCCTTCTAGTTGTAAAGTAATACTCTGGAGAAGAAAGAAATCAAGAATAAGTATTTCTCAGTACTGGAAAGATAGTTCTCTAAACTTTTTTTTTTTTTTTTAAAGATTTTATTTATTTATTTGACAGAGAGAGACACAGTGAGAGAAGGAACACAAGCAGGGAGAGTGGGAGAGGGAGAAGCAGGCTTCCTGCCGAGCAAGGAGCCCGATGTGGGGCTCGATCCCATTAACTGTTTTTTAATTTTATTTTATGAGAATTTACGTAGCTATTGCTTTTAGCCTGATCTTCTATTCCAAACATTTAATGTAATTATAATATACAGCAGTGCTTCACATTTCTGGCCTCTTGGTGAAATAGGGTGTTCCACATAAATTGACTTTTCTCCTGGTGGCTGATGCATGCCTCCTAAGTGACGATATTAACAATTTATTGATCACTGTCATCGATGCATGTAAGACACTGTAATAAACAAGTCCTTTGGTTTTATTTGAATGATTTTGGGTGAACGCTTCTCTAGAGTACATTGCACACATTTACTCTTCATACACAGACTCCAGGAGACAGAAAATGTTAATGTCCTAGCATCATACTGAAATTTATTGGACGGTTTCCCCTAAATGAGAGACTGTTAGACTTCGTTGACTCTGTTGCTCTTCACCCACGGTCAGTGATCCCTTCTGAGTATATCACTTTTGAACAGACGAACATTATTCTGAGCATCTGGGGTGAACTAGACAGCCAAGCTGGTTACCTCACATGCCGTTCGAAACTAGTAAGTTCTGAATTTGACATTACCTTCATGCCACCGCTCCAGAGTTGCCCTTGAGACAGCTAATTTCCACAGTCCCCTAGAAGCATTTCTTCTATCCCGCTTCTCTTGGCTGTGTCCTGAAAGATTGGGATTTTGCCAAATTAGTTAAGTTAATGGATATAAATTACTATGTATCTCCTTCCCATATCCTTCATGCCATAATTATATGACATTATATGATATAGGATATGACATTATATGATATAGGACATGACATGATCACGGTTTGGTTTATAATGGTTGGTAAGCAAAGCCTGTCATTGTTTAGCAAAAATTTTCCTTGCAGGGTGAGAGATGAGAACCCTGAGTGTGTCATCTAAGCCACCAAGCAAAAACCTTGCTTTCCATTTAGAAATGCTGATGTTGCTTGTCCAAGAAGGGACAAAGATGCAAAGGGTATTTTGAATAAGCCCCAAACATAAACATAGAAGAGCAAATCTCGCCCTTCCTTCACCAAAAGTCCTAAACTAAACCAGATCAGAAGAGGCAGAAAAACAAGCAGAGACAAGGTATAGTTTCTGACTTGGACAAATAACAGAAAGTCAAAGTCAGGGAGCTGCTCCAATACAATTATTTGTTAGGTTACGAGTAAGTCAAGGGCTAAGGTATTTTTTTTCTTTCCATGTAAACTTTCAGCTCACCTTCATGTGGTATTTTTCTGTTTTTTAAAAGCTCATGCTTCTTTCTTTCTGTCTGTCCTTTCCCTTACATGTTTCTCATTACATACAGCAGGACTTGATGTGCTATTTATAATTTTGACTATATCCTTCATAGAGTACCCACTGCTAATATCTCAGGATTTGGAAAAGAAAACTTTACATTTTTTTTCCACCAGCTGATTTATGAACATAACGGAATTGAGATAATAATTTTTTTTAAGATTTTATTTATTTATTTGAGAGAGAGAGAGAGTGAGAGCACAAGCAGGGGGAGTGGCAGGCAGAGGGAGAGGGAGAAGCAAGCTCCCTGCTGAGTGGGGAGCCCAGTGCGGGGCTCGATCCCAGGACCCTGGGATCATGACCTGAGCCGAAGGCTGACACTTAACCGACTGAGCCACCCAGGTGCCCCCAAATTGAGATAATAATTTAAGCAAAAGAACTCAGTAGATGCTTTTGTGCTCAGTGGATGTTAGAATATTATTTTTTGTGGTTATTTTTATGTGCTTATTTGACAAAGCTGGAAGAGAAACTTCTCTTTATCATTGAGGATAAAACTTTGCCAAGATATTTAAAAAAATTGCGAAATATAGTATATTTAGGTATTTTTCTTGCCGTTCAAAGAGAACCTTGCTTTATAGTGCCTTATTTTTATTTCTATTCCCTTATTCCTCCAAAATTACCTGGTTGTTGATGAACACAATAACTTTCACCCCTGGACTAATGCTTTGCTGAATAGGCCATATTTTGCCTTTACGTTGGCCCAGAACAGACCCTTTAAATATTTAGTGGAAGCAGAAGGCATGGTGCTTTATCAATAAGTGATATTTCCTTGTGAACGTCCTTGTGAGGGAGCCACCCAGTGATGGCCTTTCTTGTACTGACAGGACAACAATCTCCTGAGAATGACAACACCATCAAGGACCTGCTCCCAGAAGATGCTGGGATCGACCACCAGACTGTTCACCAGCTGATTACAGTGCTCATGAAGTTCATGGCCAAGGACGAGAGCAGCGCTGAGTCAGACATCAGCAGCGCGAAGGCCTTCAACACGGTCAAGCGGCACCTGTACGTCTTACTCGGCTATGACCAACAGGAAGGCTGTTTCATGATTGCACCTCAAAAAATGCGCCTGTCAACTTGCTTTAATGCATTTATTGCAGGAATTGCCCAAGTAAGTGTAAGCTTTCAGGAGTCATACTGTTAAGGTTTTAGTAGAAGCAAGTCATTAAATTCCATTTAGCCAACATCGGATCTGTGTAGAGGTTTGTGCGAGTGGCTTTATTAGGCAGGGGTATGTGGAAGGGAGTATAAGATGAGTAAGACTAATAGGGAGTATAGGATTTTTGGGGTAGGAGGTGGGAGTAAAATATACCTAACATAAAGTTTACCATTTTAACCATTTTTTTAAAACTTATTTATTTATTTATTTATTCATGAGAGAGAGAGAGAGAGAGAGAGAGGCAGAAGCAGAGGGAGAAGCAGGCTCCCTGCCTAG